CAGCCTTTAGCATGACTGGGTCAATCCCACAGTGGCGGCCATCTTTCACAGGCAGCGGCTCGGAAAATGTGTCTTTAAAAGGCAATGAGGACACGGTCTTCAGGGACTAGTCCACGGATCCCACGCCTCCTGCTTTCCGGTCTTAATCTGGGGAAACTCACTCACACACTCATTTTCTGATGTAGCACAGTTTTCACAGGTCTGGACGTCAGGGACAGCTTTAGAGCCAGAAAAATGAGGCGAGGTATCAAATATCGAAGCAGGGTTGGCCCTAGTTTGCTGATCTTGATTGCTCATTTGCAGCAAGCAATTACGAATTAATTAAATTCAGCGAAATGGCTCCAAAATGGTCGCATTCATTCATTTACATTTCAGAGGAGGTGCCAGGGGACGAGTTGGCTTTAAATAACTACGCTAGCCCTCGGCGGCCGCTGACTAGCATGCGCTGTCCTTGAGTTGCTTATTAATCCTTATAATTAACACATGATCTTCAATAGCATCCAAGAAGAAATTCTTTCATGGACATGGTTGGCCTGTTTTCACTTTCCTACATTACCCACAATGCTGTTCGACTACCTGCTGTTCAACCACCTCATAAAGGTGCAGTGGGATTTAAACCTCGCTTCATCTCTACCTGAAGAGAGCGATGCAGCGGCGCTTTAATCCTTTAGTCTGTCCAGTTCTCTCATTTCCTGATCTTTACACTACAGCTTCCAAAGCTTCAACGTTCATGCTAATACTGCTGAAAGTTGTAAAATTTGTAGAAGCTAGCTACAATATTCTAACAGAAAGATGTAATTTTGAGCATGTGTAAGTTAGCTAACTACCTTTTACAGTAATGATACATCCATGTTACAGCCTTCAAAACCTCTGAATTAGCAAAAGTTAGCACACTCCAAGGTTCCTGAGGTTTGGTTTAGGAAACTTCACCATCTTGATACATCTGCATTTATTAACTAATCAAGCAATAAAATATGCTGACCACTGATTCTCCAGATGTTGCAGTCGGGGATGGACTCAGCACTTCCTGTACAAATCTGCCTCGTGCTGTTATTCATTTCAATCCAGTCACCAAATGCTGCCTGCTGACGAAGAACTATTTTAAAATCAGCAAAATCGACATCAAATGAATCAGCAGTCTGAGGAATCTCCCATGCGACCGTCGCATAAATATACACAATGTCAAGAATAGAGTTTACCTCAGGCTGTTGTTCATTATTCGAAAATGTATGTTTTTTGTGCTTTGCGTTTTGGACCCTAGCCCACATGAAAATGGTGTTTCGGGGTCCCTGAAAATGAAGCTTTTTTGAAAAACCCTGTTTTCACACAGGAAAAACGTGTGCTTTTTAAAAAGCGTCGCATGAACCTGCGCATGCCTGTTGTGCGTGTTTTACGCAAGTTGTGAATGCGCTAGGACTCTGCTTATCATGGCTGCTCTGTGATTTCTTATCTGTGTTTGTATTTTAATTTCGCTTCAATTTTATTATTGCACAGAATATGATCAGTGCGGTGCAGCTCCGGAATCTACCGCTACAAACCGCACCGAGAACGCAGATTTCGGATAAGACCCGGCAGAACACGCTCCATTGTAACAATAAACACCTCATCATCGGTCCACTATAGGAATCCTCATGTTTCTCATTTCTCCTTCTCTACCACTCAATACGCCACACTTAACCTTATTGAGGCTTTTTTTTTTGACGTAACAGAGATATTTTCAGAAATGCTGTTTATATGGAAAAGCTAAAAACTACAATAAAAGTCTGACAACACATTTTAGAATATTTTGAACAATCGATATCACACTAGTCCTCTTAGACTTTTGGACCTCCACTGTATGTTATTAAAAATGGCAGGGCCTCAGAGTTATTAAGAGTCATATTTCGGCTAATGATATTCTACATTCAGGTTCGGTTCTGAAATGCTAATGAGTCGATCGTCTTAAATCAACAGGATTTAGTATATCTATAATGAAACTGGTTGAAATTCAGACAGGGTTTGAAAGCAAATGCGAAGAAAAACACAGCAAAGGTCAGCGTGTCATAGTCACAATAATCCTCCAAATTACCGTGGCTTCAAAATCACCAGCTCGGAGATTGCACGGTTGAGCCATCAAACACGGGTTGGTGCAAGATGAGTAATTTGCAGCCTGATCGTAATTCAGAGTGTGTGTGTGTGTGTGTGTGTGTGTGTGGAGATAATAGACCTGAGAGGATATTTTAGCAGGGGGAATTAGTCCACCAATGCCACGGTTTGATGACACCAATCCTGGAATCCAAAGTCATTAGTTTGTTTACCATCTAAAGTGAGTCAATCTCCTTGGCTTCTCAGATATGTGTGTGTGTGTGTGTGTGTGTATACACATATTCAGTCCTTTGTGAGGACTAAGAACAACCAACAGTCCTCATATTAGGCCTCACTTATCACACTGCATGTGAACAAATTGTTCTCAGGAGCATTTACACAAGAAATGAGGTGTTCCTGAAAATCCAGGTCGTTTGGAAAAAATGTTCACATCCGACACCTCACTCCTGATTTTGTGTAAATTCACATACAAGGATACTCACTAACGCAAACCTTGACTAATCAGCTTCAAAACTTATAATTGTCAAAGAGTTATTGTGATTTTATATACAGATTAGTTTATATGTGGATATCACATTATATACGGATAACACTTTATATACAGGTAACACTTTATTTATGGATATAACTTTATATACGGATAACACTTTATATGCAATATCACTTTATATACACATACCACTTTATATACAATATCACTTTATGTACAATATCACTTTATATACGGATTACACTTTATATACGTATGTCAGTTTATATACAGATAACACTTTATATAACTTGAAAGAAAGCGATTCCAATTTAAATCCATAAATGATGACAGATAAGACTAGCTGCTCAATTCAACAAAAAGTAATGGTGCCTTACAAGAGGAGGAGGAGTTAGTGTATGGTCTATGGTAGCAGATGGCTATCACTGCAGTGGCTGAGCTGCATTACTGGAAAATTTTAGTGCACGCCGTGTTCAGGAAGTGCTCTTTCACTGTTTAATCATGGCTAAAACTAATCGTGCTGTAAAGATGCTTGACATTTTATGGCTGACTAACAGATGACAAGTGGGGGCAGTAGGGTTTCAGTGGTTAAGGCTCTGGGTTACTGATCAGAAGGTCAGGGATTAAAGCCCCAGAACTGCCAAGCTGCCACTGTTTGGCCCTTGAGCAGGGCCCTTCACCCTCTCTGCTCCAGGGGTGCTGTATCATGACTGATCCTGCACTCTGACCCCAACTTCTTAACAAGCTGGGATATGTGAAGAAAAGAATTTCACTGTGCTGTAATGTATATGTGACAAATAAAGGCTTCTTCTTCTGCTTCTGCTGGTTCTTAAGATACAAATCTGCTTATATTTTTTGAACAGTTTGGCCACAAAAACATTTACACAGATTGATAACTGAGGCCCAGTGTCCAATATCCCAGTGTCACAAGAAATACAGCTTTTATTTAAAAGAAACCTAAAAGACACAAAAGGTTTCCTTCTGGTTACTGAGGCTAAGGTTAGGTTCAGGTCCTCACCAAATTAGAAAAGTGTGTGTGTGTGTCTGCGTGTGCGCAGTAAATATCAGGCCTGTTCACCTTCCACCAGTGGCAGCAGTTGGACTTCATATCTCAACCTGACAGTGATAAATCACTCTGAACATTGTGGTATTACACACACACACACCTGACAGTTGCTTAGAAAAAACATGAAACCTGACCAGCTAGAACCAGCCTGTATGCTCCCAAAGCCTCTTTAAAACCAGGCTGACCAGTTAAAAACAGTTTGACCAGCTAGAACCAGCTTGCACGTGTAAAAACCCCTCTAAAGCCATTAAACCTGACCAGCTAGAACCAGCTAGAACTGGCCTAACCAACTAGAACCCTTCTGCAAATCTCTCTAAAACCTTCAAACCAGATCAGCTGGTCCAGCTAAATCCAGTTTAATGGCCCAGGATGTACTTTTTTCCCAGAAAGGCGAGACTATAGAGATTGGTGAGATTTACATTCAAAAGCAAATTAATTGTCCACATTTGTAATCAAATGTTTGTTCCATGTATGGAGGAATACACACACTAACAAAGCCATCATTTACAAAAGATATGGCAAAAGCATGGGGTCTAAATAGGACCAGAATCTTCTACACAGCATCATGAGCATGTGAGGATGGCCACACACACACACACACACACACACACTCCAAACAATCAAGGCAAAAACACTGATTAACGCATTACTTTTTTAATGCCCAGGATTCATCTCACAACATGCATGGAACACGGGCGGTGCAGAGGAAGTGTAATCACACGCACTGATCAAACACAGCATGAAGAACAACAGAGATGCTTTGATTAGCAGAGAAAAAGAACCTCATCTCCTATTATCACAAAGTAATTATGAAAACCGGGTGAGATTAGCATCTGAAAGCAAATCAGGTGTCGAAATCGGTTCCACTCCGAGAAATTTATTGTTACGGGTCTTTGTACAGGACCTGTTTCTATTCCTGAATCCTGCTGATCATACACAAAGCACCATAAAATCTAAAAATGTAGTTTAATACGATGCTAATCAAAGTACCATGAAACTAAATGTTAAACTCCTGACAGGTTCTAGGTAATATGAAGAAAATAATGAGCAATTATTTGACATTTTTACCACCAATGGACATAAAAGAGTTGCAAGTAGAACCTTACTGGAGGTTAAGAAACCTTATTTATCCAATAAACCTTAAGAAACCAATGAGAATTTTAAGGCTTAGAACCCTTAACTATCCAGTTGTTGTTGCTGTTCCTCTTTCGGCTACTCCCGTTAGGGGTTGCCATAGCGGAACGCTGGTCCACATATTTTCATTCGGCACAGTTTTTATGCCAGATGCCCTTCCTGACGCAACCCTCCCGAATTTTATTCGGGCTTGGGACCAGCACTGAGAATGCAACCCCTGTGGAGTTCCCTAGGCAGGATTCGAACCCGGACCATAGCGGTGAGAACGCTGTGGCCTAACCACTAGTCCTTCAGGGACCCGAGAACCCTTAGCTATCCAGTAAACCCTTAAAATAACCCTTAAATATACCATATTGGAGTTTGTACACACTCTTAGAACAAAGGGTTCTTTAAGGGTTCTTTAAGTAATCCTTGAATAATTAAGGGTTTTTAGCTTACAAAAAAAACGTTCTGATAGAAAAACACTATGTTGTAGTGTTCTATACAGAACTTTCAAAGGTTCCCGTAAGAGACACAAGCTGAAGAACCCTTTAGGGTCAATTTAGATCACTTATCAGAAAGAAATAGTAGTACACTTATGTCGTAGGGTTCTGCTCATGTCCTGGAGCTATAGAAACCCCAGTGTGGATTCAGAACTCAATCATGATGGATGTCAGCCATTATGATTGTAGGGAATTATACGCACATGACACGTAAACTTGGATTTATAATTAGCAAAGAAGTTGTATGTTTAGCCAATTGCTATTTTGCTAACTATCACCAATCTTACTTTCACAATAGTTAACGTTAGCTAGAGTGCTAGCTTGCTACTGGTTCTACGCAATATAACGCCAAGCCTGTGTTATCTGCTAGTCAACTTGTGATTCAGTCACACTTTGATTTAATTGAGTTTACCCAATGTTAGCTAGTTTACTAGCTAGACAAAAAGCTTGGCTACTCATTTTAACATAATAATATAATAGTAAGCCAAATATTAGCTAGCTTGCTAGTATTTTAACTTCAGAATAATTTGCCTGACCTTTAAACTAATTCACAATTCACTACATCATTAAGTTTTGTGGAAATAAAAGTGTTTAAAAGTGATAGAAAATGACTATTTTAAATTCTATGTGTTTTTGGATGTCCTTAAGGAACTTCAGAAGCCTGAAGCTTGTTAAACTACAAAAATAATCACTGTTTTCCCACCAAGTTATCAAATGTCTTGCTGTCTTACTACTATGACCAGAAGGGCCAATTATTTTAGAAAACACACACACACACACACACACACACACACACACACACACACACACACAGTCCCACACGCATACACATGGGAATAGTAAAAAAATTCCAGCCATCAATCATGATTTCCGTCAGAGAAAAGTCGGCAGCTGCGAGATAAATAATCACTGTCAGAGCGTCCAATCAAATGCCATGTTCCAGCTCGGTGAATAATAAATACATGCTATGTGTCATTAGCATCCTCACACACTGAGCTGCCACATACACACACACACACACACACACACAGCTTTTAAATCTGGCAGATCTCCAAGCTATGCACTGAGCTTAGCCTTGAATATTGTTAGCTATCACAGCTAATCCGTTGACATACAGTAACCTTTACTACAAATGGTTCCCTGAGGTCCAAAACTTTTCCAGAACCATTACATCATTAAAGCTCCATGAAACTTCACTTCTATAATATGATCTCTATACATCAGCTTTGATTAATAGGGTGATTGTTTTTTTTTTAAGGTAGCACTTATAAGGAGTGTGTGTGTGTGTGTGTGTGTGTGTGTGTGTGATTCTTAAGAGAACAGTAAAATGCATGGTGAGGAACCATTCAAACTAATTTTCTGACAGTAGCGCAATAGTTTTTTTTAAATTAATTTGCTCGCTGTACTTCGTTATTGTTTCTATAGTAACAGCTTATTCACAGGGAAGTTTTCCTCTTGTGAGGAGACATTTATTTAACAATTATGGAAGGAGTCTCCAGTGTCAGGGCTTTGTGAGACATCTTCAGGACAGAAGGTTTACGCTCTGGCAGTTTCCCGGTAAAAAGGCAAGCAGCTTCTTATAGAAAATTAATCAACCCCTTCTGGCCAATCAGATTCCAGAATTCAACAGCACTGTCAAAATAACTATAGGAAAGCAGCTGTGAATGTTATATAGCATCTACTATACATGATACAACCTTAACCACATCCTGTAAATTTTTTATACTTCCTGTGTTCAATAAGTGACGCACAATATATCAAAGTACAACAATATACTTTTATTTTATTGTTAAAGTCAATAAAAGGACGTAGCGGCGTTATTGTAGCAGTTTATAGATCGATCTGCGTTAGATATAAGTGCTGTGTAGCTAACAACCCGAAAAATGAACAGTTGGTGGAACACTCATGCATTTAAGAGTTAAAATGCCTCAACACTAGATAAACATTACGGAGTTATTCATCAAGCGCTGACACTTTGAGAGATACTGTGGGTTGATGGATTGTGTACTTATGGTGAGAGATGGTGAGGGAAACAAAACAGCCAGAGAACACCTCTGGCTTCAACTAGAGAGCTTGTTTTGTTGTTTTCGATTAGAAGCGATTTTATTAACTCGAGAAACAGATCACGGCCGTGCACTTCGCCATTTCCTTTTGTACCAAATTAATCCAAATCTTTACACAGTACTGTAACACTAGACAATACGGTGTTGTGTCACCATAACAGTAGAAACTGGAATGTTCATTGAAGAATCCAGGTCACAGAGATAGAGTCAAAATGCAGGTTCTGACACTTTCCATGACGGCCCATTTCTCATTCAAAACAGCAATAGCTGTGGTGAGCAAACTCGGCCATTTTTGGCTTAGTCTGAGTAATATCAGGTACCTGGGGACTTGAAAGCTGTCTCACTGACCTCCTTTACATTTCCTTCTCCTTCCTCCATTAGTCATCTATGGATCTAAGGCATCAGCGTGGCATGTTTCGCTTAGTTAAGGAATTGCAATCAGAATACTTATCAGAATAATTAGTATATTGATTAACTAATAATTAGATCACCTTGTACTATACCTTATGCTGATCCTTGAGGTAATTCAACAAAAGGTAACATAACACGTCTTCTCTGTTTTGTGTGTTTGCCTTAATGAATATGCAATTAGGTAAGCCTAAAAAAAACAATGCAACGCACCCTGAATACCATTTCGGTAACAGATTTTGTATGGACAAAATGTGTTAGCCTGTTTCTGCAAAATAAAGCAAAAATAAATAAAACTAAATAACACCTACAATGTATTCCTACAATTATAAGAATTGTATATAATTATACAATTATACAATTCCTCATAACTATACAAACATGACTGCAGTGAAATTTGCGCTAAGCCTGTTTATGCCATTGGAAGACAAAATAAAACCATTATCTACACTTCTCTATTACGAGCAAGCAAGTCTTGATTTTGACCACCCACCATCTATTTAGGTACCAAAGAACTGTGCCAAATCAAGGTTCCAAACTGTAATTATCCCTGTTGCCAGGTGGTACCATTCAGAGTTTTTTTTTTTTTTTTTTAATCGTTTGTACCTTTACCGACATCTTTTACTTGGGAAATTGCATGTAGTGCCCCTTTAATTAGTTTTTAGAGTAACTCTTTAAAGGTACACCAGGTCCAATTATGTACCTTAAATTATTGTACCTAAGACATACTAAAGGTACAAAAGATGTACCCTTGATGGTATCACCCACACGACAAGGCAAAGGTAATTTAATTTCTCTCATTTCTCATGCTTCTTTTTCTTGGGGATTTTAGCGCTGCTTGGAATTGCTGCATCTATCCCAATGTTCTTACAGACATTTTCGTTTACCCCATTTGGTTGATACTTTTATACAAAAGTTAAGGGCCTTGCTCAGGTGCCCAGCAGTGGCAGCTTGGCAATGCTGGTACTGAACTCACAACCTACTAATCAGAGGCCAGTGCCTTAACCCCTGAACTACAACTACTCTATATTCCTGTCTGTGATCCCTGCCACTTGTTTAGCCTTTTAGTGTATTGCCATCTCTAAACCAAGGCTCTGGATTGCCTTTGCAGACTAAACCTTAGGTCTAGTCCAATACAATACCCCTCTGCTTCAACTGATCTAATGTGAAAACTTGTAGTTCCTCATAGATCTAAAGTTTCTTACTTCTTGGGACGTTATCGTCACCTGAGATTGCTTCATCCATCATGATTGCTGAGTCCAACCTATAGTTCTTTTACACAGTCCTGCATGTGAGCCTTGCCACTTGATTTGAACCTTTAAGTTTACTGATATGATACATCCCTGCTTTGACTGATCTAATTTGGAAACTTGTAGTTCCTCATATATAGGAACTACAAGAACCTCCACTTGCACTTAAAGCATTAGCTATTCCCAGTTGTAGTCCAAGGAGCTTTCTATGTGTGCTGGTGCCAAAACCTGATGGTACTTTCAGACTTTGTACGGACTATAGAAAACTAAATGCCATGACTGGGACTGATTCATTTCCTCTGCCACAAATTGACGATTCCATTGACACTATTGGTAATGCTTGTTTTGCTACCATGTTGGACCTCCTCAAGGGATATTGACAGGTTCCACTGACACCAAGAGCCTCAGAGCTTTCAGCTTTCATTACCCCAGACGCTTTTTTGCAATACACCTTGATGCCCATTGGGTGGAAAATTCACCTGCTACCTATCAGAGACTTGTTAATACTGTTCTTGCTGGTGTACCTAATTGTATGGCTTATTAAGATGACTCCTGTGATTGGGGCAGTCATGTTTAGTTTCTTAGAGCTGTATTTACTTTTTTTTATTATTAAATTATTAAGTTAAATCAGGCCAAACTGGGCAAAGTGCGAGTTTGCTCAGGCCACTGTAGTTTATTTGGGTATGAGAGTTGGTCATGGAGCAGTTTGCCCTTTGGAGTTTGACGCCACTCTCCACTTTCCTGTACCCACAACATGATGAGAATTGTGTCAATTTCTAGGAATGGTTGGTTATTACAGAAGATTTTGCAAAAAAAACTTTTCTGTGTTTGCCGAGCCTCTTACTGCATTGCTGAGCCCTCCTACTGCCTTTAGGTGGTCACTTGACTGTTAGCTGGCTTTTGATAACGTGAAGGCCTTGTTGTGTTCTGCTCCTGGTTTTACTAGGTCTTTTAAATTGGAGATCGATGCAAGTGGTGTAGGGTCTAGAGGGCTGGGCTCATCTTGGTGTTGTAACACTCTGTCTGTAAAACGAGGTTCTGGATTGCCTTTGCAGACTACACCTTTCGTCTGATATGTTACTCCCTTCAACTGA